GTTAAGTCCAAAGTAGACATATATCTTGTCGATTGATCTGTCTAATGATCTCATCTATAAAACCGGCAAAGGGTAAACTGGAAATTTGGTAATACTATTAGTTTTCTGTAATCGATAGCAAACCTCCAAGCCCTTTTATCCGAAAGAGGAAACTCGTTCTTTTTCCTACATAGTACGACTGGACTCGCGTACTCACTATTTATGGGCGTTATTATTTTATTCTTTAACATCTCCTGAATATGTTCCTCGATGATTACGTCTTTTGTTTATCATACCGATAAGGTTTAGTCCTACAAGGTTTTTTCGGCATTTAATTTGTGCGTCACTATTTGACAGTTTCCGTTTTTCTGAAAACAATTACTCACCACTTGCTGGTATTGCTTTACTTTCATGGTCATTCAGATGGCTAAGGTCCAATTGCGGTGTCTCCACAGGTTCCACCACCCTCTGGTCCATCTCCAACACCATGGAACTATCTTGAAAATTAATTTGGCCCTCGCGGCCCTTAAAAACTCCATACCTAAAATAAGAGAATGTTGCAGATCTTTCACCACAAAAATTAATACTTTGAGACTTTTCCTCTTTTACCTGTAAGTTTAATGATAATTTCCCGATGCAGTGACATTTTTCCTTGCGCCACTATAATTTCCGTATTTTTGGTTTTAAATAAGTCGTACCCTATAAAAATTCTTTTTGAAGAAATTTTCACTCATAAAATTCCTTCTGCTCCTGTATCGATGAGGGCTTCTACTGGTACATCGCCAACCAGGACTTGTATAATTGGTAGCTGTGAGTTTTTTACGATGACCATATTTAAATGTCTATTTGAGGGTTTTTTTTAAAAACTTCCGGGGTCTGGACCCTCCCTTTCACAGGCCCTCTACTTGTTTTTTAAAGCTTTCCTTTCAATCTGTGTCTTCTGGGTACGCGGATGTTTATTTTCAAATTTTCTTTTGGGCCTTGACCTTCGAGTTTCGATGCATTAGCTTGATAGCTTTTTCCCCATCAGAGCGATTCTATTTCTGGTTTTCCTCCTTTGAAGATTTCCTTCGGGTACTTTGAGAATATGTTTCCCCTCTGCTTTTTCCGCTATTCTGTGATTTTGAAACTTCACCGCCAATTCGAAGAGTTCTGCAATGTGCTTGGGTTTCTTAATTTCAAAGTAGTCGTCTGAGAACAGCGGGTAACAATCTGGTAATATTATTTTCAATAATCTCCACATCGGATTTCTTCCCATACAGCATATCCGTTAGCTTGTTTTCGTAGAATAAAGTCCGTCAATTCTTGCTGTATCCCGTTGATAGAAACTATATAGTTCGGCTTCCAGCCGTGCGCGATCTTTCACTATGGGGAAGGCCTTTACTAACGATTTTTTGAAATTTTCAAATATATACGTCGGCTTCCAAATTCCCCTATAAGAATTTGCCTATTTTTTCCACCATAGCGCGGCCTGTCCTCTTAGTGAGTATGTGGCGATGGCAACCTTTTGTCTTTGGGACAGGGAACAGGGTAGAGCTGAAAGTGGTTTTCTAGACCTTCTAGAAATACCGCCACCGAATTTTTCCGTCAAAATGGACGTTTGGCTTGATTGATGCTCTCAAAGTCTGGACCAGGTATCCAAATCCTTCTAACTGGCTTGTCATTTCTTGGTGTTGTCCAGCGGCTTCCATCCAGTTTTCGGCCATTTCAGTTTGATAATTGTTCGGGCGCCAATGTAACGTTGCGCACCTCCAACTTGCACGCAACCAAGAGGTGACTGTGGAAACTGGATAAAACACCGAGTCTTGTGAAGGGTTTAAGTCCCTTTTTATTCAACGTAATAAATTACAATTGCGTGCTCTTGACGCTTACAGATGGCGACAACTCGGCGGTCAAATAAAAATAATAACCTGAAAAGAAATTAAAGACAAGACTCTAACTACGAGGCTCTCTAAAATAACTAACTCACCGCGTTTTACAATACCGCTGCTAATTCAGCAGACTTGAACGATTAACACTACTTCCCGCCAAGCACATAGGCTGAAACGCGGGGTTCTTCAATTTCTCGCTAACTACCTCCGCACTCGTGAAGTAAGAATATCACACCGAACTCGTTTCCCTTCTATTTAAATCAGAATACTTCCGCTGATAATTTGAATCCTTGCGCGTTCTACTAAAATTTACATATTCTGGCATTGGCAGTTCCAGGGGAAAATAAGGCTTGACAGGAAAGATAGTTTAAACTTAAAATAAATGTTAGTTAAAATAAATATAAACCCTACAAAGTTTTACTTAGAAGTTCAAAATCAATCTCCACAATTAATGTAACTGTTAAATACAACGCAGCATTGTTGCAAAAGATTTGAGCTAGCATAGCAAGGGAAGAATCGAAAGTCAAAAAAATGTAGCACAAGACATCAGAGATCATTTGACTTTTGTCACATCATAGGTTAGTAAACTCATATGACCTCTGACATCACCACACAGCCAGTCTTTGTGAGTTCCATAGGTTACGGATTGTAATTCGATTTTCAGTCATCATAATTAGCTAGATGAAAATCTTAAAAAAAGATTGCTGTACTATGATTCTAAACTAATAAGTGGACTGTATAGCAAAAGAACTAACTAAATTTATTTACAGTAATTAACTATTCAGATCTAATACATGCTCTGGCATGTTGCTTAGCCGAATCCAGATGGCCAAGTGAGAGTTTCTCTCCCTATCCAATAGGTGGCGCTGTATTCTAACTTAACAATTGCTAATTTTCCATTGTTCAATCCTTTGTTCTTTTAATCAATTCTCATTTTAATTTAGGTTATAATTTTTTGGTTAATTTATTCATGCCAATTTTATGTGCTTTCTCATGTTTGGATTGTTAACATTGCTGTAGTAATTGACTTGGTGGTTACTTTTTTATTTGCTTTACTTTAATTGTTTATGCTTTTAAGTTAGTATTATGTTCTGAATGTTGAACTTATTTCAAGTCATCAGATTCTGATTGCTAATAAAAAGCTACCTTTATTGATTTTTAAACTTGTGTTTTTATTTTATGTTTTTATTTTCAAGTTATTTCAATTGTTTACTTCTCAATAATGTTATAATCAGGAGAATAAATTTCAGATATCTGGTGCACAGGCCGCTAATCAATGTGTGATCACTTTAGAACTGGAAGAAAAGCTGATTTAAAAAATACATAAAATATAAAACTGCCAGTATTAACATGCATAACTTTGTCTTAACACTCGCTTTGTAACGTTTATTACTATTATTTTTATGGAATAAATCAATTTTACATGCCCTCAATTTACATTTATGTTAACTTGCAATTAGCTTTCACACTACTTTAAATTCTTTCTAGCCAATTCTCAAACCAAACCACATATTTTAAACCAAGCATTTTGAACGGTGGTGCTAAATTTTTTCACGTTACTCATAATTCATATTTTAATTAGTGCAGCATATAATCTGACATAAACTTTGGAATTACACTCGTAGATCACCAAAATATTAAACAAAATAATTACTAAAACATATGAAAACACAGCTGTTAGTTCTAATATACAGTACACAAGCAAGCCATGAGATATGATTGCAGGATTCCCAGTAACCAACTTTTATTAAACCTAAATAAATCATTACTTTTAATTATAAATTAAATTAAATTAAATTAAATAGATACATTATTAAACCCATATACATTTTAAGATATATTAATAAATTTTTAATTAACAAAAAATATCACAAGGAAATGAAGGTAGCAGAATATTCGCAAAATCGCACACATATAAACTTTTGTAGCACTCTGTGAAAAAGTAGCAAATTTGCAAAAAAGTGCATATAATCTGGCAACACTCTCATACAGTACTACAGATATAATGCTCAAGTAATGTCTCCACTCTGAACTTTTAGAAAAATATATGACAAAAATATTGTCTTTACATAATTTAAACAATTTCTGGTAAAAATCATAAAAAGATTATGCAGCACTTTCAATGCTTGCCTTTTTAATCTCACTTTCAGACAGTTTGAACGGAAAAAAATCAAAAAAGAACCTTGAACTACTAGCTAGCTGCAGTCCTATCAGCTTACTTTCTTGCCTTGGAAAGCTGCATGAATGAATTATCTTAAGCCAATGGTTCTCAAACGTTTTTACCTCATACACCTCAAAATATTTATATATATTTAATGTGATTTATAAATTAAACATGAAAAGCACAGAAAATGTTGATAGTTACCAAAACTTGAATAAAAGTAATTTTTTATATTCATAAATTAAGTGCTTAAAGAGGTAAATAAAAGTTTGACTACATTTCTCCCTGACACTGTGAGATTCTGCTCTCCTAAGGAGAATTTAGCTTTGGGTGAGAATCCCCGTTCTAAACAGACTCAGTGAAGGCTTGAATAAACTACTAGACATCCAATAAAGTTTACCAACCAGAAGTACAGTTTAATATAGTTCTAATATAGCATAATTGCATCAAAATTATCATTTTTTTAGGGAAAAATTGACAAAAAAATTAGTGCAGAGACTATATAACTCTGATACGGCATACAGATTATAAAACAGTATGGCTAGCACAGCTAGTGCTTTGACACAGAATTATAGTGTGAATGCATAAAAATTCAAATCAATAATACCTCAATTCACAAATTAATCTTACGAATAAACTTTTAAAGGTGAGACATTACATTAAACCTTTACAATCATCAAACTTTCCTTTTTAGTTTCAATCAAATTTCATACATTAATAAAATTATCACAGTAGTATAAGAATTTCTTAAAATTCTGCTCTGCATAAAAATTAGAATGAATCATTTTACTTATTTAAATTAGAATTTAAAAATTAGAATGAGACTGCGCTATTTTTATTAGTGCACAGTTCTATAAAATATATTTCTGAAGAACATGGATAAAATTATAACACTGATAGCATTTTGACTTTACTTTTTGGTGGGAAGAGGTCACTGCCATTTTATTATTATTCATATATGGAAAAAATGTGGAATTAAAGATACTTACCTATATATTTTGGAAGTGATGCATGATTCATATGAGGAAGAGTGTATATATCTCTCTCATTCAGGAAATGCTGTCGATTTTGGTAGGAAAAGATTTTAACAGCAACACTTTGATCATTCAGACTACCAAGGTATACTGTTCCATAACGTCCTCTGGCCAATGCGTTTTGTATTTTAAGAGTATCAAGGTCAAAATTGGATGGCAATGGAGGAGGTGCTTCCATGAGATGGAGTGACTCATTGCTTCTTTTGGGTGTGGAACAGTAAATGCGTGTAAGGAAGCATGTAATGATAGCAAACATTACACATACAATTAAGACAATAGCAGCAATGACGATCTGCATTGTATATGGCATGTGATCCACAGGAGCAAAATCTGAAAATAAAATTTCCTCCTTTTAATTTTTCAAAATTCTGCATGCATGAATAAAAAAAAAATCAGTTCAAATAAAATATGAAGTATAATTTTGAAGCAGTATTTTAAGTACTAAATCACTGATATATCAAACTGTATTAATACAGTACAAATGCTTTTACATCAAAGACTTTTCTGACCCTTGGAGTTATCATGTAGTATTCTGCATTCAAGTATAATACATGACAAATAGCAATTAACATGTTTTAAATGCAAAAAACAATATTTTAAATTTGACAAGTTAATAATGAAGACTTAATAACTATCAAATGTTCAAAGCACTGATAAATACTTTGCAAATTTCTTAAAGTTAAGCAGTGACGTAATTAAAGTTTGCAAATTACTTAAAGGTTAAGATTTAATAATTTGTTTAAAATTTGAATTATGTATTTTATAAGAAACAATGATCGGAAAATAAAGGACAGTTACACAGATATGATTAAAATAAGAACAGAAACTTCATTACTGTTATCAGAAAGAATCTCATAATTGCAAGTCTAGAAAACATACATAATTATTGATTTTTATTGCATATTTTATACTCACTGTTACACTGCAATAATTTCCTTTTTATTCCTGAAAAGCCATATGAGTAAAAGCCATGTTTTAAACATAACAGCAAGCTACATATAAAAGCTGATATTAAAATTTTCAAGCAGCATTTAACCCCTTCATCAAATGGTTCATACATATCCCACCAAATTCATGACCCATTGTAATGTTTTCATTAAGAAAAATCACTAGGATATTTTTGTTTCACTAATCTCTAAAACTAAACTCAGTGAATATAACTCAGTGAACATAACAGCCCTAGTGGGCCAATGCCTGCAGTGCCCAGAAATCTTGCCTTTTTGACTGTGGACCCCGGGGTGTGTAAGCATATATCCTGAACAAGTGGGCAGCTTGTTGCGGGACCCCCAGTGTTTAGTCAACCCAAAGGATGGAAATTAAGGGATGAAAAGCTGAGTTGACCTTGCCCAGCTCGGGTATCAAACCCCAGACCTCTGGTGCTGCTGTGTTTGTCTCACTACTCTTGAGAAATTATCCTTAAGAGAAAAAAGTAAGTCATGTATAAAAAAGAAACTGGTAGTGAAAAGGTTAAGAGATATCAGCCAATATTTGATTGAGTGAAAAGAAATACAGTACAAAGTCTTTAATCCGGACTTGTCGGAACTTCAGCGATTCCAGATTAGGACATTTTCCGGATTATAGATCATCAATTTAAATCTAGTAAGATGGCATGCAGAAATTATAAAATTAAAAATATGAAACCGTAATTTATGAAATAAAGAGCAATTATTATCTAAAGGGTATAAAATTTTTTTTAAAAAAAAAGAGCTTAATATTTATTTGTTTACTTTATTAAACATTTCTTTCAATGTAAGTTGTTTAAGTTGCTTCATTTTTTGTGCTAATACTTTCTCTTTAATTCTATAAGCAGACATAATTTCTTGTTCAGTTACAAAGTTCCGCTGTTCAAGTCCTGTAATTGCTGTGCCGAGAATAAATACTAACTTGTCAATCGAAATTTTTTCGTTTTCATAACCTCTCTGTCACTTTCTTCATGCCTTTATCAATTTTTTGCAGCAATTCCACTTTTTGTTTGATGGACATCGAAACATGCTTTCGCTTTGTAGATCCTTTGGCAGCTCCAGAATTGGAAACTCTTTTTGACATAATCGAAAGTTCAAGCTTACTTTTTAGATAATTTTAGCCTAGCTTATACCGTCCGTTATATATTAAATGTACATGCGTAAACGTATTATGCAAATGCATAAAGGTATTATGCACATGAGTAAATGTGACGCATGCGCAGAAAGTTTGTAGCTTTTGAGGTCCGGATTATAGATCATTACGGATTATGGACGTCTGAATTAAAGACTTTGTACTGTATCCAGTAACAGTTCTTTAAATAAAAAGATTGAATGCCATGAAATCTTACAGCAACCACCTTTAAAAGCAACCAGTATATCTCAGAAAATTAATGTAGTATCGAAACTAACCTCTCCATGGACTCCTCTGCACCCAGAATGCAAGTATTAAGCAGGTTAAGTATTAATATTATACTTATTCTACATATAATGCAAATATAATTATTAACTTATTAATTAATTAACTCCATAGTAATGCACATTAAATTCAGAATATATGATGATATTGCTGACTACTTATATTTTTTAGCTCCATGTACCTGATTTTCCTAAGCAGCATGCTACTAAAGAAAAGACAATATATATTCTATATGACAAAATGAGAAAAAAGCATTCAAAGAAATATTTTCTGATACCTTTACACACATCTAATTTTTTTTTCTTATGGGATCATCAATACAGTTAAAATAAAATGCAATGATTAATTTACAATCCCTTATAAATAAATGCATAAATAGAACTTAACAAATGCTCCTCAAAATGGGTGATATACTTGGGGTATATAAATTCTCCATGCAGGGATTAGACATGAAGAAGATGGCACAAAGCTTTAGGTTTTAAGTGAACAGTAGTACTAGCAATAATTTTATACAATATTACAATAAAATTAAATAAGTTATATAACAATCTGGAACATATTATATGTAAAATATCATAATGTTTTATTCTTCCCTGTCATATAAGAGCATTTCTAAAATTACTTTCAGTGAAATGAGGCTTTAGCACTGCATGTCACTTTTTCATTAAACAAATTGCTTATAAATTATTGGACTATGATTTTAGGGAATCTTAACAAATTTTAAGTCTAATATAGTAGGTAAGCTGCTAATTTCTTATCACTGTTATATAATATCAATAGTGAGGCAATTATTATTAATCTCATATGACTATATACATATGCAATTTTTATTACAAAGAAATAAAAATGTTATAAGTTGAGTTTTTAATAGAATTAATTATATTAATATAATATAATTTATTAAGGAATTATATATATATATCTAGTTAATCAATCATAATGAATTACCTAATACTTGCACTAAAGCTGCAAAGTAAAATAATAATTTATTTTCTAATAGATTATTTAGTACATTACAAAGTAGTTAGAATTCTATTGAAATGAAGTAACTAATTAGCATATTTAAAACGGAATCCTGAACATATTTAAAATGGAAACATTAAAAAAGTACATTTAAAAGTGAAAATATAACAACCAAACTAAGTAATTACCTATAGGCACCTATTATACACATACAGAAAGAATAGGAAGCATTACAAAATGTAAATTCAAACAAATAGATGATGAATAAAAAGAGTCTGAGAAACATTAGTTGCAAATTCAAAAGTAGCTTTACTTACCTGGTTCTGGAGGATCAAAAACTTTGAGATAGCCATCTGTAATATTAATGTTGCAAAAGTTGCCATCACAGCAACAGAATTTGGTGTAATTTCGAGCTTTGCTAGGTTTTTTTAGAGCAATGCATTCATTATGTTTACATGAAACATCAGTGCTTTCCCAACAACCTAAAAATGGAACAAAATGCAATTGATTGGATATTTTTGGTTAGGAAAAGTATTAACATTTTATTTCAAATCTTTAACAATTTTATGAAAGGGTTTCATACAATTTATCCCTTTTTTGACAAAAAGTTTTAAAAGAAATTAATTATAAAAAGCTAAGGAAAACTGGTAACCTAAGGAAAGTAACATGTTTTATACATTTACTTCCTGAATTAATTAAAGTGTGCCTCTTGCTACATTCAGACTTACAGAAGCATAGCCAAATTTTTTCTTATGATATGGATAATACAGGAATACAACTAGAGCATTTAACGTTTGATATTAATCACTAATTATAAAATCAGATTAATTAAGAATACAATATTAGGTATTTTTACTGACATCTGGTGATTATACATAAATATCAAATATATGGAAAAACCAGAGTATTGGGCATTGAACTAACCAGAAAGTTCATGTAACTAGAAAATTTATGTATATACATATGATTTTCAATTAATTTTTAATGTTCTAATATGTTTACTTCTGATTTTGAGATTGGAAATGAGAATGTAAGGGATATTTCTTCTAAAGTAAGCATCTCGTTCAGATTAACTGTGCTCTTAATGAGAAACTTTAATATTATTTGCTATTTTGTTTAACAGGATTCTTTGCCTTAAATGGACTAATGTCTTTATTTGGATTGAGTATTAATTGTGACTTATGGTTTGGATCTAGCAAATAATTTAATGCTTACTTGGAAGTAAGATGAAACACTCTCTTTTAATTTAGTTGTTGTTAATTGATGGTAGATTGGTTTATCCCCTTGATAAGTTGATTAATCTGCGAATCTCAATGACAATAGCTACTTTTTAATAATTAAAATTTACTTTTGGTGTTTTTGCAATTAAAGATTTTTCTCTGCAAAAAGTTTTTAAACATGGAGATTGAAATTACTTTTTAATTTAAATTCTAGTAAAAATTGTTTTCATTCCTGGTTTTAAATTGAATTTGTTTTTCTTGGAGATGGTATATGGAAAGTTTCCTGGTAAGACCCGCGTAACGCTAAATGGCGTTAGGAGCGCCACTGAGTGTGTTATGAGAGTTGATGGAAGATGTGATGCAGTGATGATATGAGATTTCTGAGATTGTGATATTATTATACTCCATTAAATCAATTTATATTTTATTGATTTTTGACTTATTCATATTTGATGTGATATTATGTTTTGCTGAACCACCATATATTCAAAACTTGGATTACCACTGAATCTTCAAACCACTAATGCACATGTGGCACACATCGGCCATTGGAAAACTAGGTAAGAGAATCTTTATAGAATTATTGAAACTGAATTATACCTGGATAGAAATTAAACATGGCTGAAAACCTGTCAAAGTTGAAACTTCTGTGCGTTCGATGTTTACAAAATTAATTAACAAAAAAGAAATATCTATTAACAACAAAAATGAAACAGTTGATCAGATAAAAGCATTTTTGGAACAATTAATCAGAAAAGAAACTGACTTAAATTCTTTAAATGATGAAATTGAAAATATTTTGAGCATCGAGACAATATCTAAAGATATAGAAGCTTCGGAAGAAACCAAAGTAGATGTCAATAAGTTAGAGTTTAAGAAGTCAGTTGTTGTAAATGCAATTGTTGAAAATAGCCAAACTGAAAACTATTTGATCACAAGATACTCCTCATTCAGTAAATTAATTAGGATAACTGCTTTATGTTTGAGATTTATAAATAACTGTTAAGTGAACCCAGAGTTAAGAGCAGACTTCATATGTGCTTCTGAATTAAGACATGCTACTAAAGTTTTAATAAAACTCTTACAGTCAACTGAATTTCGAAGGGAAATAAAGTGCTTAAGCGAGCAATCTATTCCAAAAAATAGTAAAATATCATCTTTGAACGTATTTCTTGACAATAATGAGTAGGAGGAAGATTGGAGTATTCTAAGTTTTCTGAATTTCAGAAACATCAGATACTCTTGCCAAGGTTCTCATTTCACAATTTAGTTATGAATATTATTCATAGAAAATGCTTGCATTTGGTGTACAGACTACATATCTTTAAAAATACAGTTATATTGGATACGCTGTCAAGATCAAGTTGAAGAGTATAAATAAGCATCACTTGCTTTAGAATGAAGATCAAACGATAAGCCAGATAATGGGTAATCCACCATCTTTTTCCGAAAATAAGACACCGTCTTACTTTTCTTTTTTGGTCCAAAATATGCGCTAGGGCTTATTTTCGGGGAGGGCAAAATAAAAGTATATTATATATTTTTATTTAATATTTATTTACACAGAATACAGAAATTTAAATTTGTTCAATTACGTCTGTCATCTTCTTCTGGAACATCGTCATAAATAAAATTCTGAATTATATTCTGATTTTCTTCCAAATCCATTTCCTGTTGAATCATTGGTCCGAATCTCTCATATCTCGCAATATAGCTATCATTAAATGAATACTTCTTGTCTAAGTAGCCTGTTCGTAGTGCATTGGAAACATCACTATCAGTTATTTTATCCCATGAATTTTTTACCCATCAAATCACCCCTTTTGATTTTTGACTCATTCTGTGGGGGTTGGAAAAAGGTCGTTGCGTCGTATGTGTCTCGGGGTTCAGCCCAAATTTCACCCCGACGAGAGTCAGCTGAGGCTAACGGCTGACGATGCCTTTCCTGTGAACGTATCTCTCTCAGGGCAAACTGTGAACTGGTTAAGATAAATTCCAAGAATTAATTTGAAACGAACTGTAGAGGTAAACAATTAATTTCTCGGAATATTTTGTTTCAAACATTTCTCTGAAATACGAGTATTAGGAAAGCTAAACATATTATTACTTATACTTAATAAATTAACAGCATTTTTTAACGAATCTTTTTTGTCGTATTATTTTAACTAGGGATTATTTTTGGGGGATGTCTTATTTTACAAAAAGTTCTGAAAATCACGATAGGGCTTATTTTTGGAGGATGTCTTATTTTCAGAAAAAGACGGTACCTAGGGACAGGATCATACCTTCTAGACCTTTTTGAGAAGGTCGGATTGGATTTCACAGGATCACCTATATCACGAAACCTATTTGACCTTAATTAAACCTTTCGTGATTATAGGATAGCAACCTATCGGGTTGGAGGGAAAGTTCTGTGGTATTTTAAATAGGCAGGTGATTTTTCTTGTAAATAAAAAAAACATCTGGCTAGTGAGTCATTCGGATTTATTTTTTTAAAATTTTTTTATTTTTCAGCTGCTGTATAATAAAAAAGGTGCCCTTTCTTACCTGTTCATCATTTACTTGTGATATTTTAAAGGGAAAAACATGTCAGTAAATAAAGTGCATTTACGACACTGCATTTTGTATGAATTCCAAAAATGGAAGCAAAGCATCGGTTGCATGTAAGAATTTATGTGCGGTGGTATTTGGAAAAGACATTGTAAATGTTCGTACTTGTCAAAGATGGTTTAGCAAATTTCATTCCGGGGACCTCAGCCTCAAAGAAAGTGTTCGATCTGGACGACCATCCAAGATCGATAATGATGTTTTGTGATCCATGTTGGAAAATAATCCACATTTAACAAGTCGAGAAATTGCAGAAGAGTTTGGCATTCATCATACAACTGTTGGAGATCACATTAAATCTCTTGGGTTTGTGTTAAAGCAAAGTGTTTGGGTTCCACATGAATTAACGGAAAAGAATTTGTCTGACCGTGTAAGAATATGTTCATCACATCTGATTAGACACAATGTGGAGCCGTTTTTGGACAGGCTGGTTACTGGAGATGAAAAGTGGATTCTTTACGAGAATATCAAAAGAAAAAAATCTTACTGCAAACCAGGAACATCATCAGCAACAGTTCCAAAACGTATCCATCAACAAAAGTACTGCTTTGTTTGTGGTGGGACAGAAAAGGTCCAGTGTATTACGAGTTGCTGAAACAGGGAAAAAACATCAACGCGGATCTGTACTGCAATCAGCTGGATAAATTGAATGCAGCTATCAAAGACAAAAGGCCAGCATTAGCATCCAGAAAAGGAATAGTGTTCCATCACGATAATGCTTGCCCGCATACTGCAGTGGTGACACTAAAAAAACTGAATGCGTTAGGATGGGAAATCCTTAGTCACCCCCCGTATTCACCTGACATTGCACCCTCTGATTATTACCTGTTCAGATCTCTGCAAAATTATCTAACGGGAAAAAAATTCAAGTCTTTTGAAAGTGTTTCTAAGGCAGTTGCTGACTATTTTAACTCCATGGATGAGAACTTCTACAAAACAGGAATTTACAGGTTACCTGGAAGATGGCAACAGGTTGTAAGAAATAACGGAGCATATATAATTGATTAACATTAAACACATATTTTTATAAATGAATTCAAATATTTTCTTTAAAATACGACAGAACTTTCTCTCCAACCCAATATAATCACGAAACCTAATTTGAAAAGGTCAAAGGTGACTTTAAAGTCTTACATTGCATTATTTATCTGTTCTTGCACTAAGGCAGTGCACTTAAAAGTCGTTTCTGATTTAACAGCAGAAGCTTTTCTAGCCTGTTTGCGACGATTTACTGCCAGAAGATCCAAACTAGCCGTCATCTGAAGCGACAATGCCACGAATTTCAAAGGTGCGAGAAATATTCTTAATACATATAATGAAATTTGAAAATCTAACCCGATTCAAGGATTTAGTGCAGAAGAAGGCATCCAATGGAAACTTATCCCACCAGCTTCTCCTCACTTTGGCGGACTGTGGGAAGGAAACATAAAATGAGTGAAATGGATTTTGTTAAGGGGTAGCCAAATCAGCTATCGTGAATTTTGAAGAGTTAACTACTTTAGTTACTCAGATAGAAGCAGTTCTGAATTCCCGCCCATTATCACCGCTTTCTTCCGATCCGAATGACTTACAGCCTTTAGCTCGAGACATTTTTTGAGAAGAAATGCTATGTTATCCTTTCCTGAACCACATACTGCTTCGGATTCTTTTTCTTTTCATTCCAGGTGGGAACTAATTCAGAGACTTCAAGCTAAATTTTGGAACTGGTGGCATTCAGAGTATCTAAATCAACTACAGAATCGTGCCAAATGGAGCATTTCGCAGCCAAACACGCAGATTGGTCAACCAGTACTGCTAAAGGACTCCAAAATCCAATCCTTTGCATTGGCCATTGGGTCGCATCCAACAAGTGTATCCTGGTACTGATGGTCTGGTCAGAGTAGTTGAAGTTAAGGACCTTTACAGGTGTTCTTCGACGAGCAATCAACAAAGTTATTCCATTAACATTTAAAGACTGAATGAACTTGAAATTAATTGAATTTAAAGACTGAATGAACTTTATTTTATCTATTTTAATAATTTACCAATTTAATATTTAGTTTAGTGTAATTTTATTGACTTTAAATTTATTTGAATATCTGAAAATTGAAATGTAAACTCCATGGGAGTTTAAGTGGGGAGAATGGTAAGACCCACATAACACTAGAGGGCGCTAAGAGCACCATTGAGTGTGTTCTGAGAGTTGGTGGAAGATGTGAGATTTTGAGATTGTGATGTTATTATTTTCCATCAATTTATATTTTATTGATTTTTGATTTATTCATATTTGATGTGATATTATGTCTTGCTGAACCACCATATATTCGAAACTTGGATTACCACTGAATCTTCAAACCACTGATGCACATTTCCTTATTATAAATTATTATGAACTATTTGTTTATAACTTTGCAGCTTTAGTACAAGTCATAGGCTCTTTAATTTACATTTAATTACTTCATTTGAATGTATATATATATATATATATACAGTACAAAGTCTGTAATCCGGACGTTCATTATCCAGAATGATCTATAACCCGGACCTCAAAGCCACAAACTTTTTTTTTGCATGCTTTACACATGCATGTGCAGTTGAATGTTTACGCATGCACATTTAGCACAAAAAACGAAGCAAAACTTAAATTGAAAGAAATGTTTAACAAAGTAAACAAATAAATATTAAGCTAAGCTTTTTTTTTGTAACCCTTTCGATCATAATTGCTCTTTATTTCATAAATTATGGTTTCATATTTTTAATTGTATAATTTCTGCATGCCATCTTACCAGATTTATACTGATGATCTATAATCCGGAATCGCCGAAGTCCCGACGAGTCCAAATTATGGACTTTGTACTGTCTATATATCTTAACATCCCTTCTGAAAAATTAAGCAAATGGGAGACTTGTTAAGCCATCAAAAGAGCTCTCAAAGGACTTTCAAAATCTCGCTGATAACTTCTAAAATGTGAATTCAATTACACGGTTCTCTTTCAGAAGACACACCTGCCCTCCCTATTGCACTCATCTTGTTTTAGAAGGGATCACTCGAGTAGAAGCCTTTTCAGTTCTATAAAATGCATTTTGGGCAAAAGTCTTTATATAATCCTGATTAATTCCCAATAAGATAGTTTAACATTTTGGGAAGAAAATAAAAGTAAACTGTTATTTATTAACTCTTCTTTTCACTTATTTTCTCATGCCAAGTATAGGTTTAGGAACTGATACTTGGATATTTATTGCCACTCTATTCACTGAATGTAGTAATCTTTTTGGTACTTTATAATCATCTGCACCCTCTTCAGAACTTGTTACTGACTTTGGTGCACATTCACAAACTCCTTGGCAATTCTGGAAACATTTGTTTGTGTACCTTTAGGTCTATTCCAATAAAGCATCCATAAGCACCTACTTTTTTTTTTAAACATTCTTCGTTTTCCACAAAACAATGGTTTTCTCATGCATACAGTGATCAGTTTTTGTTCTACAAGGAAAATAAAGGGGTAGAATTGCTCAAAATTTGCACAACCTGGACACTGTATACCAGCTATGATCACGATCATTCAGGAACAATTCAACTTTCATTACATTTTAATGAAATGAAACTAAAAGAGAGAAAACACACAATTCCATTATGATTCATTGCAACAAAAACAAGTACATATACTCAATGCGAAAAGAATACTAATCAGAAAAATTATAAATAAATTTCAAAAGAGCAAATTCATATGCACTCACACACACATATGCTATGTGAATACCTGTGTTGCCACATAAATATTATCTTATCAGTATTTTTTCATGGCTTTTTAGTAGGAATGTGAATATCAGAAAATATTTTTTGAAACTTTATGATCATCTGCTTCTTTTTTCCATGCGTATGCAGATGGAAGATAATCCACATACCCTTGGTTCTTAAATTTTGGCTGAAGTTTAGAAGAATTACAAAAATAAAATTAAGAATAAATATTTTTAATAAGAGAATTCCTCAATAAAAATTCCAAATATTGAAATTTTAATTTATACTGAAAAAATAATTTTATTGCAGGACTACTGCAACAAATGACTCAATCAAATGAACAACCTTGAATTCATTGATGCTATTCTGATGTCAAAATACATGTTACAAAAATTCTAAAAAACTGCACAAATATAAAATTAAAATAATCTACTCATGCCTTGCTTTTAACTTACTACCAGTATTTTAAATGAATCTAATGATATGTCTTGTACATTTCTCAAGCTTTCATGTTAGTATTGTTCTAAGGTTACAGCTATTCACTTGCAGAAATGGAGCGGGAGGAGAACATGGCTTTTTTTAAAAATTTATTTTATTTTTTTTATGCTGTGATATACTACAATTACATATCTACAAATAGAACAAATATTTACAGTCATTAGTATAACTTTATGCTCCTGTGGTTAACTTAAAATCAAGGATAATCTTTAAGCATCACTTCTTAATAAAAGGAAGCAGGAAGGTTAAAAATGTATCTCACCTTGATGTAAAATAACCACGCTTTTGTTTTTTGGATGCTCTTGCCAAAGAATGAAACAAAAGTCTGTTGATTTCGGACATATCTGAGTTGTGTTATTATCTAACAGACTTCCAACAGGAAGAATATTTCCTTGCTTCACAAAATCTCCTTCTGAGTGAACGCAAAGCCTTTGTGAGTCATCATGAGAATCTGAAACAAGAAAAATGATAAATTATTAAAAATACAAGTACATAATTAAAATCTAAGTAAAAAATACACAAAAGTATTATTAACCTACAAGTACAACATACAACTAAAATTAAAAACATTTAAAAAAGGATTTATTCAAGCTATGCCAACAGAGTTACCTGAATGATGCCAGAAGACACGTAAACAGAGTAGTAAGTGAATGAATGACAAAGTGCAGAAAGGATATTTCAAAGCTTTTTTTTTTTTTTTTTTAATACCTGAGTGCGAACTAGGAGAGCCATTATGGATTTCTGTCAATAACATTCTAGCATGCAAAGTGACTATTTAGCAGTGACTATAAAATGGAGTAGCAAATAAATCTGAAAATTTGGTTTCAAGCTTAGTGATTCTTTGAGAGAAAGTCATGACATGATGAAACAAGTTTGTAGGGAGGAAGCTGTATGTAAAGTGTATTTATGAATGGTTTAAATGTTTTCAGTATGAATGGTATTCCACTGAAAAACTGCTCAAAGTCTATGGTGTTTCTAATAGTGATTATAACATTGAAAAAAGTGAAAATGATATTAGAGAAAGAAAGAGCAACAATAAATGCCAACATGGGGTATAATGATGTTCAGGCAAATTTATTGCAAAGGATCTTTGGTTATGTTTAGAATATAGCAAGGCCCATTGGCTTCTTCATAATTATGTCTGCTATATTCTGTTCTTGTTCTGAGACAAGTTTATGGCCTATAGAGGAGCGGTAGCCCTTGATCATCCACCATACTCATGCGATCTTGCTATAGCAGACTTCTGTTTACAGCAAACAAAACAAGCCTTAAAGGGTGAATAATTATTTAGATATTCCAGACATGTGATGAGGGTTCTCCACAGAATAAATACTGAGAGATGATTTTACTCACAGTTGTCAAAAAATACACTGCAAATGACGAACATTACTTAGAACAAACACAAAGCAATTTTCATGATTACCGTATTTACGCGAATCTAATGCGCATCGTTTTTGGCCAAATGTAGTATTCAAAATTGGGGTGCGCATTAGATTCGAGTGCAAAGTTTGCCGATGACGTCAACCAAATTTCTCGACTACGTTTACCGTTACATTTATCGTTGATACATTATTGCATAGAGGATACAAACTGCAGAGTACGTAGTCACGAAATGGAGGGCAAACAGAGAAGAATGTCATATGACGCTACTTTCAAACGTAAAGTAATTCTTTATGCTAAAAAAAAAAAAAAAAAAAAAAAAAAAAAAAGGCAATAGAAAGACAGGGAGAGAGTTCAACGTAGCTGAGAGCAATGTTCGCGTGTGGCGGCAACAGAAATTGGCACTGTTTGCAACTAAAGCTAGTAGAAAGAAATTCACTGGCCCTCGCAAAGGAAGACACCCTAAAATTGAAGAAAAAGTTTTGGAATTTGTACGTGAAAGGAGGAAGAACGGACAACCTGTGACTAGTGACACCATAAAAAATAAAGCAAAAGAGGAGGCTGAAATTCTTGGAATACCGAAACAAGAGTTTAAGGCTAGCCGTGGATGGCTGGATCGGTTTATGAATCGGATGGGCTTATCTCTAAGACGCCGTAGAACACTATGCCAAAAGCTTCCTGCAGATTTTGAGGGAAAACTACTTACATTTCAGCGGTATGTCATCACACTTCGGAAAGAAAAAGAATTTTTAAATGGGGCAAATTGGCAACGCTGGACGAGACGGCCAATTTGGTTTGATATGCCTCGTAACTACAACATTACGTATAGGAGGGGACTAAGGAAGTTATCATTAAAACTTCGGGATGTGAAAAACTACGCGTAACAGTGATGCTGGCAATAACAGCAGACGGGTGCAAGCTTCCCCCTTTCTTAATCTTCAAACGGAAAAACATGCCCTAAAACCCCTAAGAATGAAAAGCTGTTCCCAGATGATGTCCTGATTCGAACCAAGAGAAGGGGTGGATGACGGAATCATTAATGCTTGATTGGCTCCGAAATGTATGCAAACGCCGTCCCGGTGGGCTCTCTAATCCACCATCAATGCTTTGTCTGACGCATTTCGTGGTCATCTCACCGACGACGTAAAAAAGAAGATGCACAGCCTAGGCAGTGATCTTGTTATCATTCCTGGAGGGATTACATCTGTGTTACAACCCCTGGACGTTAGTATAAATAAACCTTTTAAGGGGTACGTTCAAGTTTTGTGAGCCAAACCGTGTATTGACCCCGACAGAAAAAATTAAGCGTGCTGCACCGCACATTGTTGCACACTGGGTTTCTGCTGCCTGGAAAAGCATCGAAGCACCAATGATTGTGAAATCTTTCAAGAAATGCTGTTCAAATTCATTGAATGGCAGTGACGATGACGTGCTCTGGAACGCCGAGGATGACGATGATGAGGAAAGAAGAAATGAATCTGCTTCTGACGAAAAGAGCTGCGAGGTTCCAGTGATGAAAACATTAGTGAATAAAGACGTTTACTATTAATCACTGATTGTAGAAAACTGTTAGCTAGATAGAAATGTTATGATTTATTTCATGTTATTTTACGATAGGTACCGTATATACGGCAGTGCTAATTAACAATGATTGTTTCACATGACAATAGCCCACTAATTCTATGTTAATTCTATGTTCTCTACTTTATGTATAAATCCATTGTTGTATAAAATATGGTATCATATTTAAATAAAATTATCATACCATTAATTGATAGTTTATATACAAATCCATTGTTGTATAAAATAAGATTCAATAAATTCCTCATATCATTGATGCGCATTACATTCGCCGACGAACAATTTTTTTATTATTTAAAGTTTTAAAATGGGGATGCGCATTAGATTCGATGGCGCATTAGATTCGCATAAATACGGTATATAAGAATTTTCTGTTTAGGAAAATATTCATTTAAGTTTACTGTCATATCTTGTATGTACAGTACAAATTCTGAGATCAAGAGTGTCAGGACTTCGGCGACTCTCAGTTTCAGAAATTTCCAGATTCTCTGATTTTTTTTTCTTTGGGGGGGGAGGGCTGCTCCAGACTGTATACTAATTTGAACAATATATACTGAGTTTGATTCATATCCCTGGAAAGGAATATGAAGCTCAGGAAGTTAAAAACCTGTATACTAAGTTCTATTTTTTAACAGACTAATTAAATCCACACAGTCATAAAAAATATGGCTGTTCCTCCTAAATCAAATCAACACTTACATGGTTTTTGGACGTATGACGGGACTTTTGTGGAAGACTTTCTGAGAAACTGCTTAACAATTACCAACACTAACAGGTACCAATATAGAACCTGCCACTGAACTATTTATTTATCTAGTAATTCCTATAAGTTATATCACTCCTATAAGTTGGTTTATATTACCAAAAGCAAATTCAGGAAGAACAATTGTACCTAATAAGGTTGTAAGTTGGACCAAAATGGTAGCTAATAAGATGGAGACTGAAGCTGCATTCACTTCTGCCTTAAAAAAATTAGGAATGGAGAGTTAAATGATAATAAATGAATAAAATAAAACAGAGGACAATTGATGCTTTGGATTAAAAAGCCTCTTCTTTTCAGACACCATTTAAAATCCCACACCTTAGAGTACGGAGGAAGAAAGGACAGGAGTAATAATTTTTAAACCAGTTTTTCCAGTGCACTGGCTTGAAGAAATACAATAACCTGTCCCTTCCCAATACTCAAGATATTCAGTCATTTATCACATTTATCATTAGGCGATATAATAACTTAGTTTGCGTACAACTGTATTAGAAATCTAAAGATGCTAGACATGTTACTTTTAAGACTGTAAAAGGGAAAAAGCACCTAAGTGAAAAAAGACAGAAGGTGTTTTAATTATTAAAATTAAAAATTTGCATTACATGTGCATTTTCAAAGCATAAATACGTATACTTTATGCATTTCATATGCTGGCAATAAAATGATTCCTCCCCCCCTTTTTTTAAATATTGGGGTTAAAAAAAGTGACTATGGGAAAATTAAATAAAGTATTAACTGAAATAGCCTGCCTCCATTAGTTCAGATAAATGGGAATCTACTGTATTTCAGATATTGCATTGAAACGGCGAACCTTTGTAACCAAGTGTTACGAATGAAGCTCTCTTCACTTCAAAAACATTACTTCTGCTGTAGAGACACTTGATTTTTTTTCAAAGCCAGATATGTGAAATGGGATTATGCCTCATCCAGGTTCGAAACATGGATCTTTTAACTTTACTTAGACATGCTAACAGTTACAACACAAGAGCAAACTTGGGGGAATACATTAAATTCCTTATCTTTCCCATCACTTCCAGGATAACTCTGAAGAGAGGGAGACTTCATCAACCAAATTCTGTTGGTGGTGAAATATTATTGTCCACCACATCTTAGTTCGGGTGCTATTTTGAGATATTTCATTTACACTGAAGCAGGAAAATCGAAAAATCAACTATACCTTCACTGGGATTTGCACCACAGATCTTCCTATTGTTAAACTATATTAATTTAAAATAGGCACTAAAAGATCATACCAGGCCTACTCTCATTTATGCTTGAAATGTTGTGTTGTCATCACATAGAGGAGATAAGCAGTTTTAACAGATTAAAGGACTAAACAATCTTTTGCAGAAATCGTTAATCATAGTTACAATCATAACTTCAAAGCATACCATAAGCTGAAAAAGATCTTAAAGTGTTTAAAGTAACAAACTCTAGTTGGGCATGCTAATATTACATTACACAAGCATAAATAAGGGATTATATTTTTATTTCTAAAAAGATATAAAAGTATAACTGCAGCTTTTTTAAGATTTAATTGTGGCTTTTGAGTATTCTTGAATTTTAAAATGTTGAAGTCATCTTTTTCAGACAATTCAATTTGCCTCACTTTCAACTGGCCTCTTTGGCTGGCACAGTGAATGAAGTGAGTTATCTTATATTCATGGGAAATTGTTCTTGTTTTCAAAATTGATATTGTGAGACAGTAAATAAAAGTATGACAAGTAAGTATGCATCACAAATTAA